AATCCAGCACATCCTGGCCATGGAGATGATTGAATGAATCTATGGTAAAGTATGCCAATATTATCCTATAGCCTGAATAAGCATAAAAACAAGTTACTGGCTAAATCTCAAGATTGAAGTTGGAACACCTATTTCGATAATACTTGTTTAATTTTGATCAACTCACCACATTGAATTAAGAATACCATGTGTATGGCTATTTTTCCTTTAGCCTAATATGTGTTGTTATGGTTTGTATCTTTTGGTAATCTTCAGAATCTCATATTTGATCACCATAATTTTACCTTTGGGCCTATTTATACTCGGAGGTAGCATTGGTGCATACAAACTGCCTGTTAGATTTATATCCCTTAAGCCATGTTATATAGTAATTAATTAATATATGGTTATTTCATTGTGATAGGTATCTTTTGGGCTTGACCATCTTCTATGGGCATGAAAAGCTTCCTAAAACTACTCTCTTCTGTATATATTTGTATATGCTATGTTCTCTGTATTTTATATCTTTGAAATAAAAAAATATGGTGTTTGATCTTAGTTTTTCATATTAGACTACTTTTTTTAGTTTTTCACATCATACCTTTTTCTTATTTTTTAAATCAATTCACTAATTCTTATATAATGCAAATATTTATTTTATCAATAAATTGTTATATATATTGCTTAAAATATATACTGTCTGTTTGTTCCAATTCTAACGTAGTATTGGTTCTGCACAGGTATCTATTCCTTCCATTAATAATACGAGCAGTCTTGTATTGGGATAACACAGCTTGCACACAAGAATTAATGATGCGACAAGAAAACAAGAACATATCTACCTTGGCATTAATGGGAATTATATTATTTGAGCCCGCTAATAGTAGAAATGTAGAAAAATAGCACTTGAGGGTTATTACAGAGTTGAGAGTTTTTAGTTGTTGCGGCTTTATTGTTAAACTAATGACATTTTATGTATTTAATTAAGAACCTATGTTTGTATTATTTTTTTTAAAATTATAGCATGTTTGGTTTTCAAGAAATTTAATTGTCTGTGTTGGTTTTTAATCGTTTGCTCCCTCTAAAAACAAAACATGAATAAATCAATATAATTATTTAAGAAAAGTTAGAAATTCCCCAAAAAATGATTATTGACAAAAAATTTTGTCAAAAATTGGTGACAAATTAGTGACAAAATTTGAAATTGTTTTTTAAAAAATTACTGACAGAATTACTAACGGAATATATTCCATCGCTAATTTTTTGTTATAAAATTTAGCCACAGAATTTTTTAATTCTATGGGTAATTGGCCATAGATTACCGAGGAAAAGTTATGTTGGAAGTCACTCATAGAATTTTCTGTTAGTAATCCGTGGCTAATTACTAATAGAATATATCGAAAACTTGTGACAAAAAACTTTTGTCCAAATTCTATTACTAATTACCTGCAGAATTTTTGTCAGAAATCCATCAATAATTAGCAACTTAATTTTTAATTCCATCACTTAATTTTTTTGTGACAGAAAAATTAGCGACGGAATAGATTTCGTCGGCAATTTTTTTTGTCGCTAATCCATCAAAATTTTTGTCGGTAATTTCAAATTCTGTCACTAATTCCGTCAATAATTTGGGTTTTTTTTTTGTAGGGTCTCAATTTTTTTAATTTAATAGTGATCTTGTGTGGTCATTCACCTGTTGATTTTATATATTCGACCGGTGCCTTTTCCCCCTTTTTAAAGACTATTGGGGTTTAATATTTCCACTTGTAATGCTTAATTATGATAAACACAATCTCTTATGTCAAATATTACTTTGATAAATTATAAAAAAAAAATCACAACACTAAATGCTCAACTGAGATTATTGTGAGTACAAGTCTAAAAGAAATGACCTATTTCAAAAAACTAGCCTATTGGAGGGAATAGAAGAGCTATTTGAACTAATAAACCTATTCTTCTTGTCTTAAATATAAGACCCTTTTTGTAGTTAATTTACACCACAAAAAGGATCTTATATTTAGGACCGGAGGGGTATTTCGTTTTTGAAGCTCCTTGATCCTTATTCCAAGTCAAATATTCCTAGCAGTTCTACTTCATGGCAATTTGGCTTCTTGCCCGTAAGTCCTTTATGAATAATCTCTCAGTGACATCAGTCTTTTGACAAAGGTACTAATATTATGAGTAGAAGTTTAGAAATAGTCTGTTGAAATTTGAAATTATAATTGCAATTTCCTTTGATACTAACATCAATGATAACATTTGTGTCATTGTATATATTGAGATCCTAATAACACCCAAACCATTATAAAAAAAACAAGACAAAAAAGTCTTATTCTGAAGTGTTACACACACGCAGAAAAAAAATATCAAGTTTAAAGACCATGGTAGCTCGAATCTTTAGGTGATATAGGGTCTGCCCACTTAAATTGAATGGGGTGGTATGAAGAACACTTGTAACTTCTTGTCATTGTTTTGTATAAGCCTTTCTCACATTCCAAAGTGGCTATATAGTTAGGTAGAGTCATAGGTTTCACTAAAGACCCTTTTTTTTTTTTCAGTCTTCTGAATTTGCATAGATTGAGGTATTCATGTCTATTAAAATCCTATATGGCTGAAGTATACTAAACACTTTTCGTAAAGCTATTTTAAATATTGGGTTATGATCATTTCGAACCCTTGTAAAGACTAGAGAGTATGATGGATATATGAGTTATGGGGGGGGGGAGACTGATCCACTCATAGCCCCTACCCATAAAGGAGAATCACATCACCATGCAATCTATTTTATTACCTTTTTTTAATCATAGGGGAAATAACAAATTCATATAAAACAATATGACAAACAAATTTAAAGTAGTATGCTTCTCGTAAAAGTTTAGGGATTCTTACATCAAAACAAGAGAGAATCTAGGTTTTTTTTAATGCACAAATAATATATCCAGGTCTTTTAATTAATTGAGCATTTTTTATTTTGTATTTTACCATTTATTTGATTGATTCAACAACAAACATGGATGCGTGATTCATTATGCACCAACCTTTAAAAAGGATTTTATTTTTCTAAGATTCACTCACTATCTAACATTATTCATTAACTTAGATTGTGTTGTGACAAGTAATAAAGTATTGTCAATGATAAGTAATAAATCAAGTCTTCTCAACATAACTTTCTCTGTTCAGAATATTTGAGCTCAAATTAAAATCTTACTTTCACTTGATCTAGTAAAAGATTTAAAACAAGAAAGCAAATATTATTTTTGATGTTGAGGACAGAATAAGATTAAAAAACAAACATAAATTATTTCTATTATTATATGCAAGAAATTAATGTTTTGGTGATGATATTGTCAATGTCCCCTTCAATCTCTTCTTTCTTTGTTAATGTTCATATAAATCAATGCACTGACCCCATTCCTTAAAAAATTTTCAACACATAGCAGTGAAAGAAAATTCAATAATTAATACATAAAAACAAAATAAAATGAATAAAATTTTGAAAAACATCACACCATATGATGACCTACCTACACTGACAAATCGGTATTTGTCCATGGTCACAACACTTTTCCTTAATTTCTCCCTTACTAAACAATTTAACCAAATTATTTAATTTCATGTTGCCACCACCTAATTGGACATCTTCGTTTTCTAAAATAATTTTTTTTAAAATTTTTTTCCAATAAAACATTAAAAATTGATGATATATTCAAGCTTGATGAACAAAGCAGATTCCTAGAAAAGAAATTCGAAAGTTATCAACTTCTAAATAGAATTCTATTTTGGCAAGGTACAAGAAAGGTTTTATATATTGATTGACAATAAATTAAAATAATAAATAAATTACAAATAAATAAATATATGTTTGAAATTGTCTGCTATAGGACTATCAAACAAAACCCAAGCGGGCACAAGAATTGCTGAGCTCTTAACTTCTCCCATTGACTTATATATAGTAAGAATGGAGTGATATATCAATTAATCTATACTTTTTGATGGAAAACACTACCTAACTTTAATATATATATATATATATATCTATATATATATCACATGAATAATAGCAATGAACCACAAGCCAGCATGCTTTGCGGATAGTGTGCCATCTATGCTTTTGAATCTTTTAACACCCCCAAGATTGTATTAATTATTTTTAGGTCCCCTAAGATGATGACAAGATAGTGTAAATTAAGCAATACTATTAGTGTCATGTTAAGTGTCAAATCAAGAAAAAAGGAGGCAAAAGAGAAGCTGCTAGCAAGCTGGGTAGGCAAGAAGAGACCAAATTGCTGAGGATGGCGGGTTATCAAAGTACTGTTTCGTAGGGAGCAAAACATTAAATGAGAGTGAAATTAGTTCACATTGTTTTCTTTAATGCAATCAATTTAAACATACACACACGGACATATTAATATCAGATTTAAACTCAAAATCTTGTTCAAGCGTGACAAGTTATATTGTAATTGAGACATCTTGTTGTGACATAATTTTATCATTAACAGTCTAAGGTTACAAGCAAAATCAAATTCATGATCTCTTATTTACAGAAGAGTATTTATACCACTAGACTTGAAGGTTATTGTTTGCCACGGACATAATTAGTTCACATTGCTGCCGAGTGATGAGGAGGAAGAAGAAGAATGGTAGCTGTTGTAGGGCATGCACCAATAAGTGGGCATAGAAAGATGTGTGTAAGAGAGGGAGAGAGGTAACAAATGTTATTGGTACAGATGTAAAGCTAAGCTAAATGAGGGAAAAGGGGGTTGGAAGTACTTAAACCACTCTTGATGGTTTTTCTTCCATCCCTTTCTCTTTCTTGATTTCAGAATCTGATATCTAGCACCGGTTATTAATTTAGTTTTAACTTCTAAGTTGAGTCATGCCTCAAATTAAATGTGGGAATTTTTAAAATTTTCATAGTACTGAGTTTCTTACCATATTCGTTAATTTAGTGTACAAAGCCCATGGTTGGCACATTCATCCACTTTTAATGGGCTCTAGGATAAAGCCCAAATATCTGAAAAATGTTTGAAGGTATTCCCATGCAAGTTTGAAATTGTGACTTTGGGCAAGGCCCTACTCGAAAAAATCCTCCTTTCAAGAGACCAACAAGAAGCAAGAGAACAAGATGAATTGATCTGACGTTGACCTCAGGCTAAGCCCACTAAAAACAAACATGGACTTGGTTTAATGGGCTATTCGGCAAAGCCCAAACAAAGCTTAGAAGAATGGCCCAATGTTATATTAAAAAGATAAAAGCCCTCTACCAACAAAACCTGGCATATTTAGTAGATGGCTGGGTCCCTTAAACATGATGTCCTAGATTCAAATCAGGCCGTGTGCATGGAAAAGGCTTTGTTGGGAGAGGCAAAACCCATTTCAGTGATCTCTACGCCTCAAGAGGATTAGTCTCTAGTTATCAACTGGGGAATACCACATGGTTTTATCTGAATTACCCTTGTGTCACTCAGAGATTTTACTCACCATGTTATGCCTAATGGGTCTTTCAATATGATAATCTTCATATTATGCTTCTTTTCATGGTTGCTTGAGTAAGCAAATGGTATCCATTTGGCAGTAGTTGGTGGTTTTATGTAGTTTTTAAGCTAGATATGTATGCTTGATTGAGGATAGCACTATGTCTTGTGGAGATTGGGAGCATCCCAAATTTTAGAAATGATAGGATTTTCTTCCTCGTATCTTTGTCATCATCTCCTTGGTCTATCTTACCTTACAACAACGCTAATTTTCTAGGTTGTTGATTGTGAAGGCGTAATGTTTATATTTTCTCAATATGTTAAACATCCAACGTGTCTGCCTGTATTCATTGGGACGGAATTTTTGCAGCCCAGGAGGTTAAAAGTGGAGTTTAAGTGCGCTTGGTGAACTTGCCAAAGAAGAAGAACATCCATAGGGATCTTAAATTTGCTTCCCAACGGATTCCTGGTATAGTTGAGATAGTCCCAGCTCTTTCTGGTAACAAGAAGACCAGGGACCCTGTTTGCAAGGGCTTTGCATTTGTTGATTACAAGTGTGAAGAGGATGCTGCTAGGTGTGTTCTAACTTCAAACCACAATCTCAATCCCTTTCTAAATAGTGACTTGCCTCTAGTTCGTTCAAGTGTTCTAACCCCTCAATGTTATCGGATTTTTCAGTAAAGTCACTGCATATGCATGCTTTTTTCAAGTCAGCAGCATGTCATAGTTGGTTTCAAAAATACTTTTCATACGTTATAATTTGATTAATTAATTCAATAGAGACACTTCCAAAAAAAAAATGCATCGTAAGTTTTTTTCCCCTCTTCCAAATCTGATAGATGTAGAGCATTACATCTTCCTCTTGAATAATTAAACATGATAGCGGCCTCTCTCTGAACTTTTGTTGAACAGGGTTCTTTTTTTTTTATTTTTAATTGATTATATTGCAACTTGATATGTCTCATGCAGACCATTACAATAATTTCTGGGAGTTGAATATTTGAATGTGTTGATCTAGCTTTTGTCTAGAGCCCTCTTCAAAAACATGGTTCGTGATCCTCCTGCTTAAAATGTTCTCAGAAAGGCATTCTTCTCTCTATGAAAATATGTGAAATTTTGTCAAAGATGGTTCTCTTATACTGGATAATTAATTCAATCTTCTCCGTGTCATTTTACATCGCTAGAGTGACTAAGAGCTGTATTTACATTAGGATCTATCTGGCATTTAATTATTGGATACCACTGTTATTGTTCAAAATGACTCAATGTGTTCTCGCTGCACCTGTATCTTACAAAATTCAATCCTCCTCCTCTTCACAGGTTTGTGCAACTATACTCTGGGCAAACTGTTCCCTTTGGTAAAATTCAAAAGCGGATAAAGTGTGAGCTTCTGAATGAAATGTCTCCAGTGTCTGCTAGTCTGGAATCAAGCCAAGATCATACTAATGAAGCTACGCCACAGCTCATAGTCCCAGCCATAGAAGAAAGCTCAAATGAGGACTCCAATATGGATAATTCTGCATTCATTGCTTGGGATGAGACTGCTTCAAGCTCCGATGAATTGGATGCAAAATATAGAACAGAACAGGTTGAAGAGAATGAAGACTTTGGGATCTACAAAGAGTAACGAACACCCCTGTGAATTGTAGAATGCATGTGACATGATTTTTATGTTTACTGATCATGTTCATCCTGTTAATCTGATTTCAGGTCCAGGATAAAGGAGAGGCAGTTTTTAAGTGATGTTTTCTCCAAATACGGAACAAAAGCT